GCTGTGCTCATCTAATGTCAGATCAGAGTTTGCAAGCCGCCTGGGGCGCGTAGTCCCTGTGTACTGGGGGGCTTCTTGAACTACATGAGGCGGTGAGCCACCATGGGCCCTCTTTAGCTGCTTCAATTCAGGGATGATGAAGGTGTCTTGCTTCACTCTAGGAGAGTTTAGAAGCCTGGGAATCAACCACAGATATCCATGCCAATCCGTTTCCTGATTTTCACTCCTTACATACTTTGATCTGGGAGTTGAGTGGGAAGCCAAAGGGTTTCTGTCATCTCCTCCTACGAGTATGGATGACAAAAATGCGGTTTGAGGCTCATGGCGGGCGTGCAGATGAAATTAGAAGCTTCAATCAATGCTATTCATTTTATAGATATACGAAACAATCTACATTTTAGCGAATTTGAGAATAATTTTCTTCGAGAAAATGTCTTCGATTCCTAGGTTGAGAAACGTCTATAATTTAGATTCTTTCGCTCTACAACTTCAATAGATTGAATATCCTCACGAAATATTGGATCGCTCATATCTCAATATTACGGCGCGGCCACTTGCGGCCATTTCGACCGCGTGCGGCTTAGCCTTTCCGCCTCTCCTCTAAAATGCCTCCTGCGGGCTCCCTAGAGCTCTAAAATCTCGGAGATTTTAGAGCCCTTTAGAAAAGCTAAAGGCTCTAAAACCTCAGAGATTTTTGGGGCGGGCGGCGCGACCAAAAATCTCGGAGATTTTTGGTCGCGCGGGATTTTCCGCGTGATTTATCACTCTCTTCGGCTATCTATTTGGCTGCTCGGCGGAATATACTGACCTAAAATAATCGTATTTATTTAAAAAAAAATTTTCCGACCCGCCGCGCAATAATTTGCGGGCATGTAAATGCTCTTCGTTTTTTACGTATAATAGTTAGTTTGAGAGAGATAAATAAATCGGAAAGATTAGGGTAGAGATTTTGAACTATATACTATAAATCTCACGAACTTTGGAGTCATATCTTTTTCTTTGATTATTATCTGCGCAATTGATCGATAGAATATATGGCTCTGATATAAAGATCGAGAAATACGGCATATTTCAGGATTTCGATGAGATTGATGCCATAGGAGATACTATGCCGTTATTTGCGTCACTTGCAATAACCAGTTGTCAAGAGGGCGTTGGGGACGAAAATTATATTTAGATATATTCTAGAGTGGGAAGGAAAAGTCGGCTTGGGATAATGGAATTTATAAAATTATTGGGATTGATATCGATTTGTCCCCCCCTCTCTCTCTTCTGGGCAAATATCTTTAGATTTGTGAGGATATGATGATTATTAGAAGAATGATGAGTGATAAAAATATCTACGATTAGCTTGAATATCTTCTATTCTATTATATAAGAATATTCCCAGAATGATTTGGTGATATTCTCTCGTAGAATAAGCTTCTCTCAAGATAAGCATCTGCTATACGAGATATCACGAAATATCGAAAGAATAGAATCTCTAATTCTGTCAAATTAGGTAAGAAGGGCTACGTCATGATTCGGATTTCGAATTGAAATTTTAAATTCATATAATTGCGGAGGGTTATGCATATATTTATCTATAGCCCATGCGATAGAAATAGATCGCAAAAGCTTTGGGCTCTCATAGAAAAATTCGTCTCGTCAGGAATCCCTCGGGGAGGGGGGGGAGCTGCTTCTTCGAAGAATAATTTGATATTGCAATGCCCCAAAATACGTAATTCCCTTAATTGTTGCTAGCCCGATAGCCCTCAATTTCAATATTCTAACGTATATTCAGGAGGAGCCATGTCGAATTACGAGGAAATAGGATTTGGAATTCTACGTATTATTTTTTTCCATATCAGATAAGTTGCCGTTACGCGTCATTCGAATGATGATATTCCGTTGTTATAAAGAACAGAATCATTCTAATATTTTGTATTATCTTCAAGATAATGGATATTCATATATTCGATTTATATTCTTTGGAAATTATGTTTCATATAATAGATATCTTCTATCTAAAGAAGAATATATAAGAAAATTGAAAAGGAATATAGATTTTGACGAGAAGATATATTAAGATAATATATTTTCAGATTTCAAAAAATGAAGATAGTCAGATGAAATCTTCTATTATTTTTCAATATTCGAAATTGAATTTATGAAGAGAAATATTCGTTATTTGAAAATTATGAGCAGAAATATCTTTATTTTATATTCAAATATTATAGATATATTTCAAATGAATATAAGAAGAAATAAAGATCAATATTGACGACGATTATATAGAATAGAGAAAATATATATTTATAGATAAGTTATAAATCGCATAGATATTAGATTCAATAATAAGAATAGAATAATAAATTAAATTTAGGTCGGATATATATATTTTAGAGAAATGAATTATATTTCAATTCGTAAATATATTATCTATATATTTGAAAATATCTAAGTTAGATATTCTAATTTCTAGAAATATATATTAATATATATAAAGATATCAATAAAAGGAGATATATATTTTATTTTCTCAATATTCATTATAGATAAATAAATCAGGATGCTATGAAGATTAGCGAATAAGATTTCGATCGATTTAGAATTCTTTAATTTGGATGCGGTCAACTTTCAATATAATCATAATTATTTTAGAAATCTATCTTCATAATGATATTCGTTATCATCGTATATGATAATCGGAATATATATATTTCTTTGTAAAATATGAGAGGCGATTTAAGCGAATCAAATATAATAGCTACGCAGATGGCAGATGATATGATCTTAAGAATATATATTCTTTTCTATATATCTTCTTATATCGTCGGGCGACGATATCCTAATAATTTATCATTTGAATTCGATAATATGAAAAATATCTAAATCTCGAAAAATTATCAAAATAAATGATGAAAATGAAAATCTTATAGAATAATGAATTATTAAAATGGAATTTCTCATATAATTAGATTGAATAATAATTCATTAAAAAATAATTTTCAGAAATATCGAACATATATGATCTTTATTTGATAATTCAATGAAAAAAAAATATCAAGACGGACGACCGGATAGATTATAGTTGGAAAGATCGATTAATAGATAGATATAAAAATTTCAAAGAGCAATAGATCATATTATCAAGGAGAATATCGAAATCCAATCCTATGAAATCCTTATAATTTATATGATGATAAGAGATCAAATTCATATTATTTATTATGGGAATATTCCCTGCTCTTGGGGAGGGAGGAGTTAGCATGATTATTGACGTTACCAATCAATATAGAAATCAATATCACATCTCCAAGTCCTATCTTAACGCCGACCTCCTTTCCATTGAATGCCCAAATGATATTCAATTCGCTAGAAAATAGATTATCAAATCAAAATTCTAATAAATCAAAAGATAAATCTGCAAGTCAGAAATTAATAGATCGACAGATCAAAATATGAAGAGACGAGAAAGCTAATTCATTAACGATCATGCCGATCATTCCGACCATTGGATAAATCAAAAGCTAGAGCGGAAAAATAGAAATCTCATAGCCTCTAGCATAGAGAGGCATTCTTTTTCTCAGCCTCACCGAGCCCAAAGGGCGAGGGAAGCTGTTGAACGATCCAAAGATATTTGCATAGGAGCTTGCAATAAACGTAAATCAATAATTTCAGAAATAATTTGATGCGCCCTTCTCCTTCTTAAATTTCAAGAATCTTATTGAAATACCACGAATTATAGAGGCATAAAGAAATTCGTAAGCATAATGAGAATGCAGAACCGATGCGTGCTTCAACCTCCCTCGCGAAAATGAAAAAATATTTATAATCGGTCCATTTTATAGAGATAAGTAAATAAATCTTATAGATTATCAAAAAATTATTGAATATAGCAAAAAAAATATAAATCTTTGAAAATATTCTATATTATCTAATAAGAATATGTATAATATCATTTAAATCTTTTTAAGAAGCATCTATGCCCCGCCCAATAATATCAAAACCCTCTCCCCAATATTAGATCCTCTTATTTCTTCTCGACCTTTTAATCTATTATCTTCAATTCGGCAGAATCCTTTTTAGTTATAAAATTAGGAATTCTAAAATACGATAATATCGATTGCAACGAATTAAATTTCTCTTTCGTGATATTTTTTTTCAAAGGTATACTACTCTAGAAATTAGAGGATATTCTGCCTCTCTCTAGTTAATTGCGATAAAGGCCTTTTTTCAATTTTCAGTATATATTGTGATTATTAAATAGGGCATTCGGATTATTAAAACGTTTATTTTGCCTATCTCCCTCTGCCCGTTCCGCCTGCTTGCTAAGAAGTATCCAAACTCATATTCGATTGCCACGCCTTCATTCATGCTCAAGATTCATTAGATAGAGCGCTGCATAATAAGCTATGATAGCGCCCTTAAGGGTTGATTGTCATATCTCTTGTTCTATGTCATTTTCTCGCTACAGACGCTGGGATGAGTCGACAGCCTTCTCGCACCCCATACCTCCCCCCCCCTCCGGCAAACCCCGCCCTGCCTTGCTTCCTTCCATCATCCGAAGGATCTGCTTGCGCCAGATCCCTGTGGCACGTGCAGGGGTAAGTGCGCACTCGAGCCCAGCCAACGGTGTAGCAGTAACCAAGCATAGATGATCTCCAATAGATAATCAATCTTTCCATTGCAGAGCTGCAGCTCTGCAGCAGCCTTGAGTTCATTCCAGAAAGCTATCCAACAACTCTTCCCGGCTTCTGAGTCAACCCGTTTTTCATTCGTTTTCCTGCGCCCTCGAATGTTCGAGCAGCTGCAATTCCGTCGGGACCTCGGCAAGAAAGAATGCTGCGTCCAGCGGCAGAAGGCTAACGTCGTCTTTGCTGAAACGTATTCCTTACTCCAGGGCCTTGAACCTGCAAGCAGCTCGCCTCTTCATCATGTGCAGCCTCTTTTGGGCATCAAGTCAAAAGCTTAGATGTAAATAAGTGCATACCCACAACCTTCCCCAGCCAGGTTGCCCAGAGTACCGGAGGTCCCCAAGTATACTTTGGGGTTGCCTCCTCGATGGACAGCTCACCTGGAGGCTTCGATTCCATGTTCAAGGACATTCGTATGAGAAGGAGAAGGATCACAGCATCTTGGGGGAGCTTGCATGCCCGACCGTCATGATAGGAATGATATATAGATATATACGGATATGCATTTAAATCCATTTGAAGTCTTGAAGACCACCCAACATACACTATGCTTGATGGCCCCCCCCCAAAAAACTCACCAAAACCCATTGCCCCAGCCTGTGCAGGATTTGAGGCTCCAGTACATGGCTGTTCGTTCTTGCGTCCGCATGTCCCGGACCAGTCTTCGGGTTGCCACCTGCAAGGCAAATTCAAGGACATCAATATCAGCCATGAGCTGACCAAGCGGACACATCGAGAGCTGTCTTCTACCCCCCGCCTCAAAGTTGCGACAATTCTTGCAGAAATGCCGAATTGTCGACTCATCCTGCAAAACAAGGCTGTGTGTTTTTTCTATCGCTGCTGCAATTTCCTTCCTCATCCCACAAGACTCTTCTGTACCCGCAGCTAAAGAGCAGGTCTGCCTTCTTATCTGTTGAGATAGATATCGCGCAGGAATCATACAAAGTGGGTTGCGACCTGCATAGCTAGGATCGCAAGAGACATCCAAGCATCATTGGCCGGATGTCGTAGTGATGTCGGGCTATTTCCCCACAGCGCCTTTGAATTCTTCAGAAGCCCGGAACAACCCGGATAGACCAAACAAAGCAGCCATTGAAGCACCCTGTTTCCTCCTCCTTCTGTGGTGCAGGAACGGGAGCCTTGCTCCGTTGCAGGATATGCGCCAGGCCTGCGTGTGAAGGTTTGTATCGAGCCTTGATGGGTTATGACAGGTTCAGTTCAGGCTGGCATGCAATAGATGCACTTCTCACAGAGCGGGGTAATCGCCCTTTTCTTTGCTGACAGATGTGACAGGAGTTCAGGCATGAGCGCACCAGGCTTCACGAGACAGTTCACATGAGGACCCGTGTTGCAAGGATGCTGTAGCCGCACCTGGAAAGAGCTTCCCCTCCGGCCATGCTTTGGGCTCCTGAGGGAAGCAAAAGATGTGGGCTTCAGGCACTTATTTCCGTCTGACATTGTCTGACACTGGCCAACAGCGCCAGGGAGAATCCAGCACATCATCCAGTCCCCTGCATTTCAAAACCCGTCTGCCGTCTTCACTCCTCGGAGCAGGACAGCCGCAGCAGCTCGCATAGTACCATCTGTAGATCAGGCGCAAGTTCGCCTCATGGGTGGTTGTTAGGGAGTTCTTGCGTCCTCTTTAAGCCGCATACCTTCACTGCGTCATGTGGGAGTAAGGAGGGCCCTTGTTCGTCGCAGCTGATTCTGTGGAATCTTAATGTTGACACGTCGCAATAAAAGCTGCACATAAGGGGTTGTGCCGGGGTAATTTGAACCGCAATGAGAATCTGACCTCACTGTGCAAAAGCTTGTGCTCTGCATCTCTTAAGTTGCAAGCAAAGCGCTCGCAGCAGTGAAAGTCTCGCCATTGGTGTCCTGCAGGCTTCAGGTTCGACGGACGCTTTGATGTCCCATGAAAGGGCTGGTACTTCCATCGACCAAGCACCGTTGCATCAGAGCCCAGCCAGATGTCGGAGCACAAACTAGGTTCGCTTGATGAATTGCATGTCTCTAAGGAGAGGGCGTGAACTTCCAAACACATATCCGTAGGCAAGGAGAACCTGAAAGGACACTGAGCAGCGGTCCAGGAACTCCATTCGCAGGCAGTGCAGGAAAATTCGGGGCACGATGGCACAATCTTCCTCCTTAGACCAGTGAGCTCACTGGAGGACTTGCCAGATGCAAGGCCCTTGAAGATCAGAAATCTCCTTCTGTTCTGTACTGTAAGTGACGGTTGTGGTTGTAGACCGCTAACGGTGTCTCCTTCCTATGCCCCCTTGTGCCAAGACTCATAGCGTTCAGGGTTGTACTTCATGTCCCCCACCAGCCTGGGCAGATGTCAAGCACTTCATGTTCCCAATTGCTCCGGACAGTGGGAAGGCGACAAAATCAGATGCCATACTATGGTTATTTTTCGATGAAAAGAGAAGGCAACTACGAGCAGGGCTCATGGAAAGGAGTGTTACGGTGCCAGGGTCAGAATTCATGGATACGTCATGATAAAACCGGGTGAAAGGCAGAGGAGGGTCCTTCTTGGCTCTTTGGGCTCTCAGTGGTTTGAACTTGAGCGCGTGAAAACCAAAGAGGCAATTTGCAGCCTCCTCGTGTCTGTTTGAGTAGAACCTAGTCCAAGACACCCGGAGTGCAACGCAGCGTGCAGATCTAGGGGTAAGTTATACATAACCTGTAGCCTGCGAGGGAAGCGCTTGCAGATCCATCCCAGTCAACATGTCCGGCACGCAAAGTTGGTGGTGCTCTTCAGGGAAGACGCGGGTGCCCAAGGAAGGCCATGTGCAATCTGATCTGGTGCGTTCGTCCTGAGGTAGCCGTTCAGCAAAAAGATATGGTTCTGGCAATTGGGTCAGAATCTGTTCCACTTTGAGACATGCCCAACACCAAGACCTGCTGAGATCAGTACACCCTGAAATTTGCATTCCCTATGGTCCTGTCAGGATCTTCAGCTGCACCAAGGTAAACCATCGGTCACGGCCCCAAAAAGCAAGCCGTCCAGTGGCTGGCACGCAGTAATGCCTCCCCAGCAGGGAAGGAGGACGGAAATGATTAAATGCATAGCAATGCAGCGCAATGGCCCTACATCATCCATAGAAGGTCTACATAATGTCGGAAAACCTCTCAGATTCCTGCGTCCTGCTTGCAGCTTGGTGTGGAATGTGGAGAGTTGCGGACATGCTCGCCCCTTGGGCATCCTCTCAAGTGCCCCGTGAAACCGCACCAATTCTATGAGCACTCCAAACCATTGGTACTGACCTCAGTCTTGCTTTCCAAAATTTCCTTGCCTGAGTGCAGAGTACCAGGTCACGGCCGGAAAGCCTTGCGCTTCTTTGGCGCCTTGACTTCAGCTGGCAATAGGTCTGTACGGCTACGATTCGTGTGCATGCAGACATGATGGATAGCTCTCAAAATGAACCCAATAGAATCCCTGACGTTAATTCACCGTCTTTGATTGATTGGTCTTCCATCGGCAGGTGGCCACTTCTGAAGAAGGGCTTCCCCCAATAGATCTATATACCACTAGAAAGACCTCCAAAAGGGGTCCACAAAGCAGATGCATGCCTGACGCGTGTACATAGTCTGGGAGGCATCTCTTGTCGCCACAATTCACGCCCGCAGACAGTTGTCTGACGCTGGAATTTTCTCAAACTGGCGGGGCCCTTGTTGACGTGGGGGATGCGGGATGCGGAGATCCTCGAGACCCTGCGCAAGGATTGAAAAGGAGGATTAGCTTCAGACCATTCTGATGCATGCATACTTCGACCATGTCCCAGGAGTTTGGTAGCTCATCAGCTGAACAGTTGACTGTACGTAAGTTTGTGATGGCAGCTTCCTGCCATGACAAATGCGGACTTCACAAGCTTGAAGCTTCTTCCCTGAAGTTCTGGGACAGAAACGGGTGAATTGTATGCAGGTGCTCAATCCCGCCATGGCACAAGCCACACTTCCAAACTCACGCCGGAGGAAGTCCTGTCAGGCAACGTAAATGCTGAAAACAAACTGATCACTGTACTGTGGCATCTTTAGTTATACAGAGTTATGAGGGACAAACATTGCCAACTATTCAGGCTTCTTCTTCAGTACACCACGGAATGAGGGTGTTCAGTTTGCAGACTATGAACTCATGTCGACTGCATGGGCAAGGCTTCAACCACCATGAGGTGAGAGATCAATTTACAGACCTAAGTCCTTACCCCTTTGCATTCGCAATCTGAATCAGAAATTCAAAGGCGTCGCAGTTGAATCTTCCCAGTGTGTCTCAAGCCCTCAAAGAAACTCTGTAGGTCATTGCACAATTCCTTCTTATCCTGCGTTTTGACTCGCACCTGCCACTTCTTCATGGGCACATCGACGACCTCAGTCAATACACACCCACCAACACGGTGCTACGGGTGAGGGCAGACTGTAACAAAGACTGTGAGCTCCAGTTCGATGCATACCCTCCCTGTTGCGATCCTTGCTCACGAACTCAAGACGGAAACTTTCCTCCGTGGTGTGGCACGCATAACATTTCCATCAGCCAAGCTTTGTAGCAAAAGGGTAAAGGTTGACCTTTCCGGGTACCATGGTCACGCATAACTCCTGACTCGGCCATGCAAACCCCACCTGCAAGTCATTACCAACTTAGATACACACTCATAACAGAATGTGGATGTCTAATCCACGCTGCAGCCATTGCCTAAGTTCTGACCTACTTCTTGCACAGATCCGGGACTTATTTTGGCCGCTTTGTTTTTCCGTACAGACCCCACGTGTAATCCCTACATACCAAAACAAGGACCCCATAAAACAGAACTCCTGCAGACTATCTAACCAGCTTTGACAGAGTCACGCCGGTGAAGGGGCCATGGCATCCTCCCAAACGGCCCTCCACTAGAGCGATGTACTCCTCTCAAATTTGAGCGTGCCTTTTTAGGGGCCGCTTTGCTGGGGATGGACCTTTTTTTCAAGTGGATTGGACGGCTCAGTATGCCGATTTTGCAGTAGATACACTTTCCTTTCCACTAGCCGGCGGATGGCGTTAGATTCTTGGAGATATGGGCTAGCGCGTTAGTCAGTTGTGCAGAAGGCTTGAACAGCGACGAGCCACCAAAATCCTCACAAGCTCTCACTCTCAGCTCCTTCTGCACTCGGTGAGAACCTTAGTGGCACTCATACTCGAGGAGCTAGGAATCTCAAAGAAACCATTGCACTTCTGCAGAACTGCGCAGATCTACCAACAGAAACACCGAAGCACTGTTCGACTAAGATCCTTGGCCAGCATCGCCAATGAAGCCATTCAAGACTACCACAACCCACGGCTTACAAAAGCTCCACATATCACCTACACGAGCGGGCGCCCAACGCCCTGGCAGCCACCACGTCTTGACAACTGATATGCAGAAGCAATCTTCCCTCTGGGTGCAGAAGCCAAGGAACAGCTACAGTGGTACCTGCCCATGTACCTACGTTGAAAGGCAGGCATATAATGGCATATCATCAGCTGGAACCAGCCCATTCGTTCATCCCCTCACGGATTCCCGTCTCACCACGCATCAAAGACTATCTGCGGCTTCGCCACTGTTTTGGCAAACGAAGTGGCGGAAAGCGCCCCAGGACTTTCCTTGGCGGGCGAATCAAAGCACAGGTCTGTTTTGCCGTGGTGGCTTCTCAAAATCCACAGCCTCTAAAACCAAGACTCCAAAAATCTGCACGCCACTTGTGTGGCTGTCCAGGCGGTGGCAGATCCCGCGCTGTCGAGGCTCCAGTTTTGTCGGCATATCGATCCTGCCAGGCTTGATCTACGGTCCTGGGATACTATACTACTCTGACCCTAGCAAGCTCGACTCCATAAGGACTTAATTAACAGAAAGGGACGCTGTGGGGCCCCCATTGTTGCGTAGGTGTGATTTTTCAGGTTTTTAGAAGCTGCAATGCGTCCTGATAGGTTCCTAGCAATTAGTACGATGATGAAAGGGGGATAAGGAGGCTCATGAATCTGAGGAAAGGCATGGGCAATCAG